TCCAACTATCCGCTGTATTATCCAGGTATTCTAGAGAGTTCTTTCATAAGTGGATACAACAATCGAAATTGGCTTTCATGATTACTTATTTGATAAAGCCCATTTGCCATTTGAAAATCCGTAATGACTGCCAACTCTCAAAAAGACTACACTTAAAAGTCATATCATACTTCATTTGCAGTCTTTGCTGTTGCAGAAATCTCCCATAGATTTCCATTCAGGATTCTTTGAGTGTGGTTTCGCCTCAATTCACGATGTCTCTGAAAGCTTTACTACATAAAGTGAGGTGTAGCGACACTGTTGAGGAGCGTTGAATGACATTAGCCTACATTGATGCTGACAGGTGAGCTGAACTTTAGGAAAAATGATCAGTAAGTGATTCAATTTCAAGTAGCCAGATGACACAGATAAAGGATGCACGTGTCCATTTATATAGCGGGACATAATATCTGTACATAATACACAAAAAACTAAAGAGAAACGCTGGACAATGGTTAAAAGGCGGAAGAATAAAGTGCATGGAAAGTGAAAAGGCTACAGGAGAGAAGGGGAGATGAAGAGAGAAAAAAGAGAAGTGTAGAAAAGGGTTTTGTAATCTGGGTATAGTGGTGTTGTGCCGTCTCCATGGTGACAGGCACAAAGGCCCGTGGTTGGCCATTGATGGCTAATTGTATTCTTCACAGCTCTTTTGTTAATTGTTGTCTGCCCAGCTCCCACTTCCTGCTGGGCCACGGCACAAAGCCACGAACAGGAGGGATTAGAAATGGCACATCAGCTTCCCCAATGCACAGCCAACCTCTCTCTACCTCATTCTCTCCCTCTCTTTCATTCTCTCGCTTTCTTTCTGTTTCTCTCTCCCTCTTTCTGTCCCCACAGAGCCGCACCTCCTTTTATCTGCTCCTCACTGTGTGCACTCCCATGACCTCAGAGAGTCCTTCTTTCCTTCTTTACCTTTCATTCTTTCTTCATATGAGGTCTTCACTTCTTTACTCGCACTTATGAGATGTTGGCTTGATTCTTGCTTCTTTACCTACAACACTGTCACAGTTAGCCACACAGATACAATAAGATAACATTACTGTAGATCATAACCACATTCATGTCTTTCAGTCATGGCAGGCTTGGCTGTTCACCATCACATGGGAAATACGGACCGATGACAACTTTTCAGAATCGAAGGACAGTACAAAAAAAAGCACTGCTCAAACACAAGATTCAAATATGATGGTTGAAAGATGAGTTAATTTATATAATCTTCATCAGAGGCAGAGGAAGAAGAATGTTCTTGGAGCCAGCCACAGTGTGTCCAATATAAACTGTGATCATTTAAAACTCATTGGATTCTTAAATGCATTCTCTGGGAGATGTAAATTGCTACCTGGATTGTTTTCAGCGGCAAAGTGTTTCTCAGTGAAAGGAACCAGAGCGTTTTTGAACTAGCCTGAAGTTACAGTGAAATGGTGCGAGACTAAGATGCTGTTGTGTGCGTTACGTCCAAAAATGTTTGAATTTATGTGAGGCAAAGGCCAGTGCCCATGCTACACGTTAATAAAGTCTGGTAGACTGGTAGGTGACACAGTAAAGAATCTCCACCTATCCAAAAATGTGTGTTGTAACTAATCATAACTATAAAAAAAGCATAATGTAATTTTAGCTTATATATCAGTAAATACTTAACTACTACACCAGTGCTTTCAGTTCATTGGAGGGAGGCGGTGCTAGCGTATGTCACAGGACTTTTAGGCTTTTATCTTTTATTTCAATGTGTGTTTAGGTACAAATACTGATTTGTCCTCACTCCGAAGTCATCACATACTGATGCTTGGACAGTAAGCGTCACACTGTAACTCACTGCGCACCTACTTAATGCCACCTTTCAATGTGCAGACATTGAGGGGTTCGACATGTTTCTGTCTGAAATAAACAGCATCTGCTGGTGCTGGCATGGACATGGACGTGTAACCTTTGCAACATTGTAACACTGTTAACTTAATCTTATTCTGCTATTTTATTGCTACCTTTATATACTGCTGTTTTAAACTGCTAGTTTACTGGTAGTTTATACTGCTAGCTTACTGCTAGCGTTATATACTCCTACCTTAATCTGAAAGAATGTATTTATTAAAACTACTAACAACAAACAAAATAAACACACAAACCTCAGAGCTGAAAACTAAAACTTTCAAGCAAACGTTGATGAAGCTAACACTGCTAGCAAGAGACAAGGTAATTGCTGTTAGCTTGCAGCATTTCAATTTTAAACCCAGCATTTTACCTGGATATTTGTAATGTAGTTGTGCTCCTGCTGTGTAAAACAAACCAGCCGTGTATGGTAACAGCTGATCACAGCCAACACTTCTGTTCTTCACTTTTAAACTTCCATCACTATGATTTATTCTTGTTTTTTCTGCCCTCAGTCATTGGGTTACTGTTTATGTTGTCACTGCCGAGCGTGATTTTGTTACAAAACCCTTACTTACCCTAAAGTTGTTTTTTTTTTTAAAACTGATCTGGATAGGAGTCAAACTCCTGTTTTTTTTTCTTCATCACGAATAAAAAGAGACACTGAAGGTGAACAGTTTCATTCAACACATGGCAAGAAATGTGACTGACTAAGAGGTAAAAAGAGGTAGAAAGTGTTGCAAATAGTGGATACATACAGCACCCACCAAAAGTATTTGCACTTTACTGTTAGCATACTTTTAGAGGATATTCTAAGGAGCTTAGAAAGAAAAGCGTCTGGACTTCTTTAAGTTGCTTGAAGACGTTAAACCTCTCATCCGAGAAGCTTCGTCAGTTCTAAGAGTCAAATGAGTCCCAGATTTACAGGATATTGTACATGGAGTGGGAGGAAGCCCTGAAAAAAAAATATAGGAATAGTTTTACACCACACTTGTTAAGCATGACAGACTTCTTTGATCAAAAGCTGGAAATTTTAAAAATGACAGGTGGTCAAATTCGAGCTGAATATCGACAGTATTGATACCAATACTAAAATATCGATATAAGTATCAGATCAATGGTGGCATGATAGTATCAATACTTTAAATTCAGTAGCAGACCTCTGAATTCTGTTAAATATTTTATTTATTTATGTATTTTTTTTTTTTTAAATGAAAAAAAAAAACACACCTCAAACAAACACTCAGAAAAATATCTGAGCCTTTTGTGTCCTGTTTTTTGTTTTGACTGTCAGGTCTATTTTATTCATTGCTTGTCTGACACATTAAAAAAAATCACAGTGTTTAAAATGTGTGATATCGGCATTTAGTGGCATTTTTGTGTTATTCATTTGATATTGGCTCAATACCAAATTTTGCAGTATGGCACAGCGCTGAAAAAAGAAAGCCTCTGTCAACAAAGATCACTCTTTGAATCAACCCAGGCTCACTCTTGATCACCCCTCCCCCGTCTCATAATCTTTACTCAGTCCCGAAGACGTTTGAAAGCGCAACTTCACGCGCTCTGTAATCTCATGACATTTTAAAGAGCGACCAACTAATCACTGATAACAGATTAGCTTGTAATGAAAATGACTACTAACTGCATTATCTCTCTTTATTTATTTACTTATTTTATATGTACTTGTAAAGTTAAACGACCCTGCCGGTATCTTTGCCATTAAGTCTTGCTTATTTGATTGGTTATGGATCTAAGAGGGAGAGAAGAGGCCGTCAGTTGGTGAGGTTTCTCCAATCAATAGTCATTAACAGTGTAGTCAATGTGCGTTTCAATACGACACGGGAGCCAGTAACAGATTATCGACTCTCTCTCCCTTGATACGCTCGTGTGTGTGTGAGTAAGTGTTCTCACTGCCGCCACCTGGAAATTAGTCCCTCTCCCTTTAAGTGGGAGGTGAGCTGCAGGGCGCTGGGGACGGTGAGAGTTGGAAACCCAGACAAGCAAACAGAAAGTCACCGGGAGTGAGTGAGTGAGTGAGTGAGTGTGCGCGCTCCCCGTCTCCAAAAACATTTACGCATCGCAGCAGTGTTCCGCCTGCCTCTCACTCCTCACCGTCATCTTACCACAAACAGCAGCCGGCTCTCTCCACTCCGAAGGACCGGGAGGACAAGTCCGTGCGGAGAAGCGTCTGTCCCAAACCACCGTGCTTTGCATGCGGTGAGCAATTAAAGCGGGGGAGGAAGAGGAGGAGGACGGAAGTTTATCCCCCCCCCCTCCTGTCTGTCTCTCTGGTGGAGAGCGCAGGGCGCACCGGGACTGGTGAGTGGAAGCTTGATGGTCACTCTTCGTGGAAATATTAACCACTGTCGTTAATAAGAACTTGGGAAGGAACTTCCCAAACTCAGATCAGTCGGAATTCCACCTCATCCATCAACTTCTAACTTTCCAAACATTCCCATTTAGTCTAACTTGCACCAGCTTCTCCATTTACTCTTTCTTTCGACTTTTGACTTTAATGCATAATTATGTGGAAAAAGGAGCGCTGCACTCGACCTCACTGCTCCGCTACACAATTATCGAGTGGTGTGGGAAATTATTATTATGATGATGATGATGGCGGTGGTGATGGGGATGATGTCAGTTCTGTTGGCAGATGCAAATGAGCGGATATCAGCAGGTTCACCAAGAATAGGCACAGGTGTCAAAATTTTAGCAAAGACTTCAACACCCTTCTTTTCTCCATAAAGCCCCATTTTTAGCTGATCCACTGAAGTATGGCAGTGAATAATTAGAACTTCATTAAGTTTCAGAGTGAGGAAAGTTCTCCTTGTTGTACTGTGACATTTTGCCAGTATAGAAATATCTTTTTAGGGTGGGAAGCAGTGGCACTGTGTTGCAGTGGTCTGGTCTGTAAAGCAGTGGAGCCCTGAGGGTCAGTGATGTCAGAGGTGACACCTTAGGCTCCTTTAAGTATGTTCAGGGGTTCTCAGCATGTTAAAAGGGTCAGGCATTAGCAAGGTGGGAAACGGTTCACAGGTCTGGGAACAGTTCAGAGGTGACATCTCAGTGCCGAGTACAAAGTGTGTGGAAGGAAGGAGTGTGAGTGTGTGTGTGCTCGTCTTTACAGTGGCTGGTTGCATACAAAGCTGTCCATCAGTGGGGAGTCCCTGACCTTTCTTTCTGTCAATCTCCTTTCTGTCCTCTTTCACTCTTCAGTCCCATCTTCTCACCCCCTGCTGCCCTTCATTGCTTTTTCTTTTCTTTCTTTTTTGGAGGCTAGTTTAATGCTGCATCTTCATATCCTTTAGCTTACTGCACACGCACGCACACACGCACACACACACACACACACACACACACACAAACACAAACACACACACTATCTTTCAATCTCTGCGGTGCACAACAGAACCAACCAATGCAGACGTAAAGAGTCTGCTTGTCAGCAGCAATGTACTCCTGCTCTCCTCTCTCTTTCTGACACACACACACACACACAAACACACACACACACACACACACACACATAACCTCGAGGACTGGTTTGGCATTTCACCCTTCACCTCCACCCCCTCCCTATCCCTCCACCGGCCCCACCTTCTCTTTTGGAGCTTTGTCTTCCCAGGTGAACGGGTTCATGCTGGGGGAAAGGTGACCTGCACCTTCACTCGTGCTTTGTTCGCTGGCCCGAGCACCGTCGTGTCTCATGCCACAGCCTCGTCACATATTGCTTTCTAATTAGCAAACAGGTGTCTGCTAAGTTCACGCGCTAGCACTGCTCAAAGTAGTTACCACTGTTTTATAATAAGAATAAAGTTATAGGGGCGGAGTGAAGTTTACTAGGAATTTCCACCTACATGGCAAACCACAAATGAAAGGTAACGTTATAAAGAACAAACTGATGTAATCAGAGTTTGGTTGGTCAAGCTGACTGTGAAAGGGAGAACATTAGCTGCTTCTAACACCTGACAGTTTGTGACTTTGCGCTCTCATGCTTAGCAGTTTTGGATCCTTGTTAGGCCAGAAAAGCGATGTCAACCTTGGACTCCGGGGTTTTTAATGGGCGTGTTATCGACCAACTAATGAATCAGTTAATTGTGAAAGTAACTGTAGCCACAGTTTGGGCTCATTTATCAGTGCTGTACCATAAATGGAGCTAAGCATCAGATGTTCTCTAAAACGTTGTTGTTGTCATTGTTGCACTTGCTGTCCTGTAGGTGTTTGTGAAAGATTGGGCATGTCATGATTGAAAAGAGATGTCAGTTTGTGGGTTTAATTTATACTGGGCACAGTAAAGAAGATTAAAGTTCATGAATTCACATCCACACTTGGTCTTCCTGTGAAGCCTGATAACAAACTGTTGTAAGCAGGCGTGTTTACAATAAATCTACTGTTAGTGGGTCATTGTTTGTACCAATTTTTTAGACTTGAAATTTGTGCGCTCCAGTCCAGTGTGTGTGTGTGTGTGTGTGTGTGTGTGTGCGCGCACCACTTCCTATGCATTGGATGTCTCCATCAGGGCAGCAGAGCAGACTAAGTTTTTTCCTCGTCTTTCCTCCTGACCTCTTGTATCCTCTGGACATTGTTCTCTGAATCCTATTGAACCAGGAGTCCACAGATAAACAGCACAATGGAGAATAATGGTGTGTCTGTGTGTGTGTGTGTGCGTGTGTTCCTCAGCCTGTCCTTTAGCGCAGTGTGAGGCCAAGCCAATCACGCAGAACAATGCTGGGTTTGGGGAAGCTTGTGATCTCTTTAAAAAACCCACCATCACTGCATTTTCTCTTTATACATACATCACTACATCACTCTGCCGCTTGAGCGACAGACACGCTAACAGTCCGCAGTGTAAGCGTGTTGTCTGTCCGACTCTTCAGGTCAGCATAAGGACTTCACTTATATTGTGCAGCAACCTAAAAATTAAATATACAGTGACCGAGTCATATCATTGTATCATATCAGCTCACTATGCTTTAAATGTTTGCTGTTAATCCAACTTCCTGAGGGTTAAACCTCCAAAATGAACAAATTAAATTAGTTTTCATGTGCAAAGAATTTGGACAATGAGATTTAATTATGAATAACATAGTGTAGTATAGTCGACAGTCGATCAGCTGAATCATTATTTAACCCAGGAGTCTTGAACCTGCAGCTGGTCCTGAATGTGGCTGTTTTGCCCATTTTTAGATAAAAAGTAGAAATTAATATTTTTTTAAAATTATTCCTTTAACCCTCTCAAGGCAGGCGTTGCCGATTTGCAACAGTTTTGTATGTTTGTATGTTGTATGTTTTTTTTTACTCAGAAGTACCACTGCAGGACTTGGTTGTGCATTAGCAACAAAAAGTTTAATTTGAGCCTGAGAGGGTTAAGTGGTTCTTTACATTCTTCATCACTTTAAAAAAAAAAATTGTGTCATAGCACAGAACAACAGTCCCTCGAGGTGTGTGATACTTTAAACTGTGTACAATATATTAAAGCTAATCGGATTCAAAGCGCCCTGCAGAGGATGTAGTTACAGACAAACATTTTAGAACTGTGGTAGAAGTTTTGCAGTGTTTAGCACTGCTGCCTCACAGCAAGAAAGTCTTGGGTTCAACTCCAGCAGGCAGATGGACCCTTCTGTGTAGAGTTTGCATGTACCTGCATGGGTACTCTGCCGTCTCCCCTTTTCTGGAACTTGGTTGTCTGTGCGTTAGCCTGGTCACTTGTTCAAGGTGTAACTTGCCTCTTCCTCTAAGACCTCAGTTGGAAGAAAATGGATGGATAGACTCTCACTTTTACATGTTTCTATTAATTACTAATGAGCAGTCATACACAATTCCAACTCAGACAACTTAGCGATAGCCAGTTTAGTAGTGCCTTTAGTCCTTTTCATTCTTTTTATTTGATTTATTCCATATGCTGCTGTGAAAAGATTGGCGTTGAAAGAGTTTTGTTATACAAAAATGCAAAATGACAATAAAGAATTTGTTTACTTTGGCAAATAAACCTGAAAAGGTAAACAGTTAAAAAAGTTTTTTCATAAACGCAGTATTATTCAAAATATTCCTCCAGCCTGCTGTACTATTGTTATATGTGGTAAAAGTTTTAAATTATTCACACCTATTAGTAATGTTGAAAGGGTTTTGTTTATGTGGGCAGCAGGTTCATAATAAGGTCCAATCATGTTTGAGATTTCTTTTGGTCAGAAATTGTTAAAACAGCTCTTTGATAGTAAAGTTCACCTGACCTAACACTGATTTAACTATATATTCAAAAAAGTTGCATGTTTTCTGATCTCTGATGTGATGATTTACTGCTTTTCCCTACTTTTGCATGTTGGCTGGCTAAAATATGACAGCTTTAAATGTAAGAAAACATTTTCAAACAATTTAAATTAAAAAAAAAATTCACAGTTAGATATCGAAAAATTAGAATTTGTAGTTATTATAATTTTATTAACATAATATTAATTATTATTATAATAGTAATTAATTAATTAATTACTCTTTAATTATAATATCAATTATAATTAAGTTCACATGTGATAGAGTTTAGAGGCTTGTACTTATATTGATGCTTCTGCAAAGTCAACGTTTAACAATCCCGTAAAACATATAAAATCATGTGTTGTGTTTATAGAACATTATTAGGAAAGAAATTCAGTCAGCTGATTGTTAGAAAAAACAAAATAATACCTACCTTTTAATTTTGACTAAAATCCGTTCAAATCGCAGTATTTTATGGCGTCATCACTGCCCACTGTTGGACAAACTATGTAATGGCAACACAATACCGAATGTCCCACCTTCATCTACTCTTAAATGTCTTATTTGCACTTTTTTCTTTGTTTTTAAAAGGTGCTACATACATGAAGTTTATTATTATTACTATTAATATTATTATTATTTTCTGAGTCAAGGCTAGCCTCTCACACCTGCGCTTCAGTTTCTTATTACCCACTTTTACTCTTACTGCACCTGACTTGTGTACAGGTGTATCTCCTGCAAAACGTCTCACTGACTTATCTTTTGGTCTGCAAAAACAAAAAGTTAAATTGAGCAAAAGTAATTTGGCTCCTCGTGCAGAAACAACGTGCAGACCAGTTTAAATGGCTGCGTGTTTAAAAGCTCTCCCGCCTGGTGCCTGCCTAAAGGAAACATCTGTTGAATGCAGTTAGAAGAGACTCATAAAAAAGTAGGTAAACTGTGACATATTAGGTGTCAGTCACCAAGATCAGTAA